AAAAAAAAAAAAAAAAGACAATTTTTACGAAACTTCTAAATTATCGAAATTAGCAAAATTCGGGGGAGGGGAGGGGAGGGGAGGGGATGCCTTCGACGTTGTTCCCCCTCCCTCCTTCCCTCCCGTCCCCAAAGTAAAAACTTAGTCACCGAACCGTATTTTCTCGCGTTCCTACGTTATCTGCCACCGCTCGATTCGCTATGGGCAAAATGGAGAAAAACAGGCGATAAGAGGTTATTGTTAATTTAACTCGATAAAGGAACGGCCGGTGTTGGAACTGGATGTCATAACGATTGAACCGAACCGACCGAGATAAAATATTACGCCGCGATACATTAGAAAGAAAATACACGCTCGATATCTAATGTAATGATTATATCGTACCGCGGATCTATCGAGTGGCAAATAAGAACGGCAAGTAGAACGCGACCTCCGAAATTTCCAGGAAAGCGAAGCTGTGCACGCGCCGTTTCCGAGAAGGGAACGAAGATACGCGGTACACGAGCGAAAGAAAACGAGGAAGCGCCTCGTATATCGTAGAAAGAGAGAATAAAAAGCAATCGAATCGCCGGTTGAATCGTAAAGCGGGTTCAACGTGTTGCGGGGCTCCGCGGTCTTCTAGGACGATAGCTACTAGTTCGTTGGGATCTTTGTAAATTGGTACAGAGGGCACGCGAGTCGCGTCGATGCACTGCCGTTCGCGTGTGCAGTTATATACGCATATGTATACACCTAAGCGCGGATACGATCGAGTAGCACGAGTAAAAAATTAATTGGATAAGATTCTCGAGGTGTGATTCGTTTCCCGAGCCGCTCCCACGAAGCGAAAAAGGACGAGGTGTATCGAGGCGCGTATATATATATATATATTATTCGTTTCAATGCCAATGTCCCCTGTGTTCTTCACGATTTTCCGTATTTGTTACATCGAAACCCTGTTTCCCGCTTATTCCTAAAATATTCTTCCTCGCATTTTGGTCATTTAATCGTTTGCGCTCAAGGCCTTTTTCGCTCGAATCAACAACTCCACACCATTTCTCGCAACCGTTCCGTGAATTTCTTAGTTAATTTAAAAAATGATTTCACACGTAAAATTTATATTTTGATATTTTACGTATCTTTACACTTTTATCGTACTTTTACACTTACTTTTAAGCTCAAACCAATACCGAAAATGCAGTTCGATCCGCGATTTAATTCGAGATAAAAAAATCTAATCATTCGACAGTATATTATTCCACGTTTTATAAGATTATACGCGAAGAGCTTAGGAATCTATTCATTCTATTAAGAAGCGATATTTTAAAAAATCGAATAAAAATAAATATTTGCCGCATCGATCCAAGTGATGCTGCAGAGTCATCTCTCGAGTTATCGCGTGGTGCCTGAGAGTCACCATTCGAGAGCAAAGGGTTAATCCAACGTAAATAGGAAATAATGTAGACATGAAACCGCGCGATTTTTAAATCGATTTTAAAGTATATCGAAACGTAAACATTTCCCTCCTTGATTGATTATCTTAAAATATTCTTCTTCGCATTTTTTGGCCGTTTAATCCAATATCCGAGAAAAATAACGTAAAAAACCGCGCGATTTTAAAATCGACTTTAAAATACATCGAAACATTTTCCTCCGATTGATTATCCAATGTATGATCTCACCGCTTATTTCTAAAATATTCTTCCACGCATTTTTCTCATTGGCCATTTAATGCAATAGCCGAGGAAAATAACGTAGGAAATCGCGATTTTAAAATTAATTTTAAGATACATCGAAACATTTTCTTCCGTAATTAATTATCCAATGTATGATCTCACCGCTCATTGCTAAAATATTCTTCCTCGCATTTTTCAGATCGATTTTAAAGTACATCGAAACGTAAATATTTTTTGCTCCTTAATTATCCTAAAATATGCTTCCTCGCATTTTTCGCATTTTTTAGCCGTTTAATCCAATATCCAAGGAAAATAACATAGGAAATCGCGCGATTTTAAAATCGATTTTAAGATACATCGAAACATTTTTCTCCTCGATTGATTATCCGATAATCTACGATCTCACCACTTTATTAATAAATATTACTAAAATATTTTTCCTCGTATTTTTTGACTATTTATCCATTTTACTATTTTATATTTTTTGACTATTTAATCCAATAGCCGAGGAAAATGACGTAGGAATTCGCACGATTTTAAGATCGATTTTAAAATATATCCAAACATAAACATTTTCCTTCTTGATTGATTATCCTAAAATATTTTTCCTCGTATTTTTCGTATTTTTTGACTATTTAATCCAATAACCGAGAAAAATAACATAGGAAACCGCGCGATTTTAAGATCGATTTTAAAGTACATCGAAACGTAAATATTTTTTGCTCCTTGATTAATTATCCTAAAATATTCTTCCTCGCATTTTTCGCATTTTTTAGCCGTTTAATCCAATATCCGAGGAAAATAAAAAACTGCGCGATTTTAAAATCGATTTTAAGATACATCGAAATATTTTCCTCCTCGATTGATTATCCGATAATCTACGATCTCACCGCTTATTCCTAAAATATTTTTCCTCGCATTTTTCGTATTTTTTGACTATTTAATCCAATATCCGAGAAAAATAACGTAGGAAACCGCGCGATTTTAAGATCGATTTTAAAGTACATCGAAACGTAAATATTTTTTGCTCCTTGATTTTCTAAAATATTCTAAATTATCCTAAAATATTCTTCCTCGCATTTTTCGCATTTTTTTCGCCATATAATCCAATATCCGAGGAAAATAAAAATAGGAAGCCGCGCATTTAAGATACATTTTCCTCCGTGACCGATCATTCGTATTAACGTAGAACAACACCTCAACACCAAGACAAGCGATTCGATTCAACGGGGTAATTTTCGCGGTGGAAAAAATGATAGAGCCGCTCGAGCCGAAACGGGTCGAGTCGAAGGAGGATCCGGTTACCCGGCTCGCGTGTGGTCTCCGACCGATCGGAAAGCGAGCCACGATTGAAAGGCCGTTGCCAGCGCCGCTGCTTGAAAGTAAATTTAGCGGGAAACAACAACGGTCTCGAACAACCCGCTCCGTCCTGTTGTCGTTTTCTTTTCGCGATCCGTAAAGGGAAATTTCAGGGACGAGGAGAAGGAGATGGAGGAGGAGGAGGAATGGCTCGTTCGACCGGTAACCCGACTGTGAAATTAAACGCGCCAAGAAAATTCTAAGGCGACACGATCCTCGCTCGCGGAGAAAACAAAGCGGAAGTGGCGGGCAAAAGGTCGGCCCTCCCTTTGTATTTCAAAAAGGGATCGTTTTTCTTGGCGTTGCGCGTGGCCAAGCATCGCCGGGACGGAAAAACCGACGTCGCGGCTCGATACGTGATGCAACGCGTGAATCGAAGAATCTCGAGTAGGCAGCAGATGCAAAAAAGCGACCGTCTCGAGTCGCCGATCCTCCTTTCTCGTCCTTCGGTATTCCTTCGAGCGACGACGCGTTCGAGGAACGCGTTCGAGGAGATGTTCGAATCACCAGTCAAATAACATCGGTTGCGATCGATCGAGGGACAAAGGGAAATGACGAGGGAAAGAAAGAAAGAAACGTTTCGCGATCTTCTTGTTTCCGCAACGCGTCGATTAGAACCACGCACCCGATAATCGATATAAATAGGCTCGAGCAACAGGCGAAACGAGTACGCGCCTCTAAGCGGCGAGGTCGCTCCTTGGATCTGCAACGTGATATTAACCCTTCGACGCGTATTAAGTTGCGTCCCACTTTTCTAAGGCTTGGGTGTCCGGGGGGGAGGAGGGGACGATCGATTTTTGTGCTTTTGAATCGGCGCCGATTCGGAGAGCGATGTGGAAAAAAATATAAATAATAAATAAAAATGGAAAAATGGATCGGTTTTTAACGATTTCTGAATTAAATTAAAAAATATTTATTTTTATATTGAAAAATTATCAACTCGAGAAACGGGATGATTTATCGGTTTTTTTTTTTTGCTTCTTCGAGTATTTACCTACGTACGTACGCAAGGCTCGTGTGACTCATTCCCCCGTCGCGAATAAGAAGATCGTTGCTTATCGCGCCCGAGACCGATTTGGTGACGAATGACGAATTCCATAATGGAACGACAATGGGAACGTTAACGTTGAGGTTAGAAACGTAAGGAGAGAAGTCGAAGTTGGGATCGGGAGAAAAACGATCGATCATTCCATCGCGATGACGCGGGAAATGGGGCGATAAAAGAATGCGCGGATTGCGCAAGAGCTCGATATTAAACGAAATGTCCCAATTCCCTTCTCGACGAAGATGAGGCGCGGATATCGGCAACGCGCGAAAAGTCGTTCTTCCTTTTAACTCGCGATACACTCGCGTAATTCTCATTTCCTTGGTACCTTTTTCTCGAAGGGGGCGGCGTTAATTAATTAATTAACGAACTGTTATTGAAAATTCGACAAACTCGAATTACTATTTTCTTGATAAATTCCTTCTTTTCGAAGGGAACAATATTAATTTATTAATTAACGAGTTGTTATTGAAAATTCGACAAACTGGAATTGCTATTTTTTTGGTAAATTCCTTCTTTTCGAAGGGAACAATTAATTAATTAATTAACAATCTGTTATCGAAAATTCGAGAAACTTGAATTCGTATTTTCTTGGTAAATTCCTATTTTTCGAAGGAAACAATATTAATTAATTAACGATCTGTTATCGAAAATTTGAGGAACTTGAATTTCTATTTTCTATTCCTTCTTTTTGAAGGGAGCAATATTAATTTATTAATTAATGATCTGTTATCAAAAATTCGAGAAATTTGAATTCTTATTTTCTTGGTAAATTCTTGGTAAATTCCTTCTTTTCGAAGGGAACAATATTAATTAAATAATTAATCGATCTGTTATCGAAAATTCGAGGAACTTGAATTCTTATTTTCTTAGTAAATTTCTTCTTTTCGAAAGGAATAATATTAATTAATTAATTAACGAGTTATTATCGAAAATTCGACCAACTCGAGTGGAAAATCGTTCTCCCCTTGAACTCGCGTAATTCCTTAGTAAATATCTTCTTCTCAAAGAGGATTAATTAATTGAAGAACTTATTGAAAATTTGACGAACTCGAATTCCTATTTTCTTGGTAAATTCCTTCTTTTCGAAGGAAACAATTAATTAATTAATTAACGAGCTGTTATCGAAAATTCGACGAAGTCGAAAATCGTGCTCCCCTTGAACTAATTCCTTAATAAATACCTTCTTCTCGAATTAATCAATTAACAAGCTGTTATCGAAAATTCGACGAACTCGAAACTCGATATCTCGATAAATGGATGGAATTACGAAATGATTCGACTTCCAACCGCGAGAACTCTTTGCAAGAGATCCCTCTTTCCAAGATTTCGTCCAAACGCTTCGCGTTCCTAACCTCAACGGCGAACTGACTTCTCTTCTTTTCGAGATTGATTCGAATTCCATCGATTCTCAAAACCAACTCGGCAATCGTAAAATATAAACCAGAACCTGCTCGTCTACAGATTCGATATAGGCCCGTCGAAAAGAAAGATTTCGTAATCGAGGCGGATCTGGAAAAACGTGACACGTCCGCTTTATCCCTTCTCCCGGTGCGTACAACGCTCGATGTCGTGGCGGTAACCGCGGAAGCTGGCCTCGACGAGCAATGTCGTCCAGTCTCACGAGAGCCTTCCTACCGCTAACAACAACCAGTCCTCCTCCCTCCCTCCCTTTTGCACCCTTTGCCCTCTGCTCTCTCGTATCCTTCTCTCCCTCCTCCTCCTCCTCCTCCTTCTCCTCCTCCTCGAGAAAAGTTCTCGAAGCTTCCTCGGTTCGAAGTTGGAAGGGAAAATCGAGGTGCAGTATAGGAATGTCCATATCGTCGAGAAGCGAAGATATTCGATGCGATATTCGTTATGTCATCGACGGAGAAGCCTGACGCGGCGGGAGGAGATTGGTGGCGGAGGAAGCCCGGTTCTCGGGCGAAGTCGAGGTCAGTACTCGCCGTAATTCACGAGATCGCGATCGTCGGAAGCCGAGTAGAAGTTAATTTGTTTTTCCGATTCGAATTAATCGATCCCCGTTTAATTCTAATATCCGCCGTGTCGAGGAATTCCAGAAGCCTTGGAGATTGCCTCCTCTGCTCGAGGAGATCCGATCCACGATATCTCGAATAATCCGTGAACGGAACGCGAAACGTGCACACGCGTGATCCATCCGTCTGATTAAAATTGTCGGCGGACGAGGCTAATCGAGGCTCCACTCTAGATGCGACGTCGATGTAGAGCGGCACGTACGCGTCCAATCGATCGCTTCTATCGATATCCGAGATACGAGCTGAGCGAGTCGGTTGCGCCGCTTTGAAGAACAATTGGCTGGGATCGAAGAAACGAAGATCTTCGTTCGAATTCTAGGCAGTACTTTTAGTAAGTAGAAATGTAATCTGGAAAAAAGATTGAGAAACGAAGAGCAAGAAGAAGAGGGAAGTAGATCCGTGAATTATATAATTCGTCGGTCGAGTTGCTCTTCTGCCAGCAACATCCGACGGATTGATGGAGCGAAACGAAGCACGCGCATTCGTCGATTTTTTTATTTCTCGTCATCTTTTTCTCCATCTTCCGCGATGGCACGCGTGTATTTAGAATTTGATTAAAGCTTTGGTGGGTCTGGTTGACGCGAGATCTCTCTTCTGGATCTCTTTCGTCGAGCAAAGTTGTGAAGGAGGGCGGCGAAATACTCTCGAATGCATAAAGTGCAGAGAACCGTTGCGCTAGTTCTCTTCGAATTCCGTTCGCCTTTCCAATGAAAGCTTTGAACGAGGCGGTGTCTTTGGCTCGAGCCGTATTTGGAGATATCGATGACGTATTATTGGTTTCTGAAGAAAAAAGGGTTTCGAAAAAAGAAATCCAAATGTTATTAGAATACCCTTTTCCTGGAAAGTAATTTTATTTATTTGATTGATTCCATTAAATGGAATCAATTATTGATTATCGATTCTTTAAATCTTCCATACGCAAGAAAGTTGGACGTGACGAGTGGAAAGATCGTATGGAGGATGAGGCGATATCTGCGCATCTTTTCCGCGTAAACATTCCCGCAGTTCGTCATCTTCGAAGATAGAATTACGTCGGCTTAACGATTCGTCGCGCCTTTGTTTCCTCGCTTTTTCTCTTACATGTAATATTTTCAAGAAGCTCGCAAACATCAAACCCCTCGATTAAGAAAGCACGACGATCCCTCTTATCGTTCTTATTTCGTATTTAACGCACGAGCAAAAAGCGAATCGTCGATTAATCAATTATCGAAATCCAAGGAAACTTGGTTTCATCGCCGAGAAGGAGGAGAGAACCTTTTCCCTCGTACATTTTCCGCGATTCCAAGCGGCCAAGCGTGACACGAGTGGCGCTGGAGCGCGGATAACGCGCGATTTATCAGTGGGTGCGCGCGTTAGAATGTAGAAATCCTTGGATCCGAGCGAGTGATCTGCTCTGGACACGTCCGATTCCCTCCCTACTAACCGCATAATCCGTCCCTCGTGAAAGTAAGCCAACGATAAGCGCGATTCGTTCGAAATAAATTTCGAATCTTCCACCTTCCCCCTCTCTCGAAAAAATTTCCAAATTCGAAAAATCCGTTTCGAGAAAAGTTTCCAAGAGTCCGTCGAGTAAGTCGAAACCGTTCTTCGTGCCTTCGTTTTCTCGGTTCTCCTATTCGAGAAGTTTCGAACTATATATACATATACACATACATATATGTATGTGTGTAACATTTGTTGTGTCATTCACGGAGAAACCTGACACTCTTTCTCTCTGTTTGATATTTTGACCTTAGAAAGCAATTGGAACGAATTCTCGTTCTCTTCCGGATCCTGTTCTCGGCGACCTTCGATTCGAAACGAGTATAACGAGTTAAAAGTTTAAACACGCGAGTGGACGCGAATCATAACAACACGATATATATATATATATATATATATATATATATATATATATAGATATATATATATATAGATATAACGTGGCCGGTTACGGAACGAATATCTCAATTGCGTAGATTGAAATTCCTATCTCGGTTGTATTGGCTGCGGAATAAGACGGTAAATGACAAGTTGAAGGAAAGAAAAAAAGGAAAAAAAAGAATAACAAACGTTAGAATTCGCTTAACAGGCTAAAACGTTTTCGAGCGTCGTAGTAGTGTAGTAGTAGTAGCAGCAGCAGCAGCTCTTGTTTCTCCCACCTCTCCACCTCTCCGCGCTGGAAATCTCGCGTATTTGAAATGCTCGAACGGATCAACGGTTCCCGCTCGAGAGATCGCGAGAGCAACGACGCGTGTGGATCGAAAGAGCGACGTGTCGATCTCCTCTCCGTCGGGTGCACGAGAGCGTGAACCCGTTTCGACTTCACTTGAACGAATCTAAAGGGATCCTAGAGGTGGTGAGAATCGTGATTCGAAGAGAGAATTGTCAGATGGACGAATTGTCACCCATGTCCATGCAAATTTCTCAAACGTTGCGCGATTTGTAATCGAAGATTCCTCGATCTCGGGGAACGAAAAATCTATCGACGAACAAATAGCTCGAAATTTACTTTTAATATATCCAAGACGAGAGAGATATATCGAAGAGAAAGAGGAGATAACCAACACTTTGACGATCATCTCCTTGACGTGTGATTTTAGAGACGGTAAATGGTAGGATGGACAACTGCGGAGGCGGTCAGCGGCTGCCCCCGGACGGGGACGAGTTTCCAGCGGCCTACCAAGAGTTCGGTGGGAGCAGTGGGCAGCAGCAGCAACAGCAACAGCAGCAGCAGCAGCAACAACAACAGCAGCAACGTTTCGTGACGACGGGGAGCGCGACGGCGAGGACGTCGACGATGATGGCGAACGGCCGCCTCGTGTGCAACGAGAGCGAGTCGTTCATGGTGAACGAGGGGTACAAGTTGCTGGAGGGGAACGTGGCCACCGGTATCATTCTGCAATCCGAGAACAGGATCCCGGGCCTTGTCCCGGGCGCGGAGAGCTCGCCTGTTTGCCAGGAGGTGGTTGGAAAGCTGGAGATGGCGGGGATCGAGATGATGGGCGGGAAGATCGAGCGGGAGAACGTTGTCCGTTGTCAAGACGCGAGCAGCAACACCGTCTCCCTTTTGGCTCGAGAGGAGCCGAAGGACGACCTGGTCAAAAAGGGTACGTCCGTTTACTCGGCCACGGCCGGTTGCTACGGGAGCCAAGCTTGCGACGGAGGCGTCCTCGTGTCGGAGAAGAGGATCGAGATCACCGGCTATTATCACAAAGACGTGACGACCACAGTGATCGAGGAGGATCGCCACGCCGAGAAGGATGACACGCCCCCGCCGCTACCGCTCACCGGTAAAATTTCCTATCCGCGTTCCGTCGCCCCTTCGATTATGTTTCCTTGCCTCGAACGATGTTTCCTAATTCGTTCGTGTTTTCGTTCACAGGCCCGCCCAAGATCGACCGTTGCCCCACCTCGTACGCGGCGAGGAACGCCCCGATCCTGGACTCGACGCCCAGAAAATTCACGTTGAACGGCGAACTGTGGAGGCAGGACGACAAATCCGAACGATCCGTCAGGGACAAGATCGCCATGTTCTCGTCCCAAAGCAGCCTGGACGGCCCCCTCTTCCCGAACGCGAGCATGATCGCCGCGGCCGCGACTAACAGGAGGCTGTCCAAGTACAAGTCGACGGAGGACGTGTGCAGCGACGAGAGGCATTGCGGCCAGAAGGAGAGGATCTCGTTCCTCGGGGATAGGACGCAGAGCTCGTTCGATCTGACCGACTCGGGGAGAAGTATTGGCCAGGATCCGGGGAAGAGGTACAACAGGCAACGATCGCCATTGGCCGGCACGTTCAACGCGTTCAACGCCTCGAAAACGTTCTCGAACGTTCCACAGAGACCTGGAAGCGGCAACTCGACGACCGGTCCAAATGGCTCGTCGACCGGCTCCTCGTTCGAGGCGTGCCCGATACCCAAATCGTCGGTGAAGAGTTACGTCTCGACCACGAGTACGGGTCAAAATTCTCCGGCGATGAAGCCGGGTATCGCGTCGGCCGCGTTGTCCCGCGCCACGAGTTTCTCCGGTTCCTCGTCGGCGTACGGGCATCAGGATCGTACCTCGACGGCCGGCGATCTCGCGCCAACGTTGGCGATCGCAAGGACGAATTCGTTGGCGTCCACGTTCAAGAGACCGACCGAGGACAGTTTAAGGAGGAACAGTTTGAACCAATTGATCGAGCAGAGGAAGAGGTCGATCTCGAAACTGAGAGGATTGGTGATCCCCGAGAAGGAGACGATAACGATCGACGCGCCCATCGTCGACCTACCCGAAATCAAATCCCGAGACTCGATACTGTTGCATCAGGTAAGCATGCTCCTCCTCGCGAGAACGGGATAAAAAATGTGTAAGCACGCGTTACGTTGTCCACAGGTGTTGCCAAAGATGAGCATTCAGGACAAGTGGGGCTCGCAAAGTTCCTTGGCGAGCAACGCCAGCACGGCCAGCGTGCCTCTGAGGAGCGCGGCTTCTTTCAAGATGCCAGCTCCCCAAATACACTCAAAGTACTCGCCCGCCTTCAAAAGGAAGAGTCTGACCGTGTACGGCACGTCCTCGTCCAATTCCTCTTCGACTAGCACCGTGAAAACTCCGTCGCCCGTCACCACCATCTCCACGCCGCCGCTTTGCGAGCCTCCCAAGAGTTTGGAGAGCATTTGCAGCCCGACGCGAAGCGACTACAGTTTCGAGTACGCGTCGACCGCCAGCTCGCCCGAGGGATTGCGTGGAAACAGGCCGAGAACAGCGCAGAGGAAGGCGAGGATGGATTACGACGACTCGGACAACGACTCGGCCGTGAGCAGCTCGCAGAGCAGCATATCCCGGGGCTTCAGCCCACCCACGTCCCCTGTCCCGTCGGAACGCTCCACCATTTCGTCCGAGAGATCGTACGTGTCCACGGAGAACAATTATCAACGGCGATCCCTGATCATAGACAGCCCAACCAGAAGCTACAACCAGGCGAGGGAATCGAACGCGGACGGTTCTCAAAGAAACGGTTCCCAAATACCTCAGAGACAATTGAAACGATCGAACAGTACCGACACCAATTGCAGCACCTCCTCGACTCTCACCTCAGGCTCACAGGCGAGCGCCGAGTCACTGTCCCGACGGGTGCTCAAACCTCAGAGCGTGGAGGCTATAAATCGTAAGAACATTCTGGCGAGCGCCAGATGCCGTAGCGGCAGAGATCTGAACGGATCGCCACTGATCCAAAGGAAGTTTGCCGACGACAAGGGGCGATCGATGATCGGCGGTGGCGAAAACGGGGAAGAAAACGGTTATCAGAAAAATCGGGGGAAAAATAACGTTTCGAGTACGAAAGACGTGGTGAAAATCGCTTACATCGAGGTGACGGATCCGTTGGGAGAGGAGGATCCTTTTCAAAAGGTGACCGAACGATCCGATTCGCCTTTGAAGATGAACGTCGCTTCGCCCTCGAACAACAACGTGGCGAGGCCGTCCAATTTCGAGGCCTCGATCGAACCCTCGAACGATTTGAAAATGTGGGTTCGCACGGAGGCGAAGGCTCTGGCCAGATCGATCGAGGAGAAACCGATCGATAAAGTGGAGAAAAAGTCGGCCGATATCGCTGCCGCTGATCCCGTGGACAACGATCAGAGGAGGAACAATAATAAATCCGTCGTAATGGAGAAGCAACGGTACGGCTCGATCGAGTTGTCCTCGCCGAGTAGACGAATCCAGGAGAACGAAAATGAATCCAGATTGACGAAGCAACCGCGTTGCTTACCTCCGAAGAAATCTTCCGAAGATCAGAACGATCTATTGACGATACTCACGACAAAGAGCAGATCTAGATCGGCGATACACGTGGACGAGGGAAGTTTTGGTCGGTCCAAAAGTCAGATGAGTCTGGAGGATATCCTGGGAGCGAAGGCGGAGACGAAGTCGGCACGAGGTCAAAGCGGTGAGACGAGAACGGAAAAGAACAACGTTTTCTCGAACAGCCAGAGTAATTTGGGAAAATCTTTATGGGAATCGAGGGACAATCGATACATGAGAAGAAGCTCGAGCACGTTGAACGAGTATTGGAACGAGGATCATAAATCGTTCTCAAAAGCGTCAATATTGGAAAAATCAAGATTGGCCGAGAATAGCGCGGACGAGATGATGGAAGTGGAGAAATCGAAATCGACGTTGTCGAAAATTCCAACATCGAGAAATCTCGGTCGAAGAAGCGTGAGTGTCACGGATATGAAGAAGGCTGTGGAGGTGAACTTTACCGGTAATGCGCAAACGCAGAGCGTTGGAACTGGTCATAACCGATTTCCCAGTTTGGACAGTAGCGTGGACGAAAATGTGTCTCCGGTTGGAATCGATATGGACACGGACAGATGTTGCAGCGAACAATTTGGAAGTATCAGTTCGTTGGCGAGCAGCACCAGTTTGATCTCGCAACAGGAATTGGCGCAGCTAGTCGAAGAGGCGAGTCTGGAAGAAACTCGAGGTGCTCACGATGTGATCGTTGTGTTGCTTCACAAGGAGAATCCGACCGGTAGCGTTGGAATCACTTTGGCCGGAGGAGCGGATTGCGAGATCAAGGAAATCACTATTCATCGAGTTCTGGCCCATTCCATAGCCGACAAGGATGGTCGTGTGCAGAGAGGGGATAGGATTCTGAGTATAAATGGAAGAAGCACGCAAGGTCTCACGCACAGAGAGAGCATAGCGGTGCTCAAACAGCCCAGATCGGAAGTTGTTTTGGTTGTCTCTCGATCGAGGACGGAGGAAGGGTCTTGCAAATTGAAATCACGAACTGCGAGCGTCGAAACTATCATCGAAGGTGAGATTCGAATTTTCGAAAAATTTCGTTAAAGGGAAAGGTTTTATTTATAATAACCGAGCAGATTTGGTTTTCGAAGGATTCGAGACGAACGATACTGCAGAAGACACTGCGTGGGGTCCACCGTCGGTTGTAGCAGTTTACAAGGACGGAACTGGTTTGGGATTCAGTCTCGAAGGAGGTAGAGACAGCCCCCTTGGGGACAGGCCATTGCTGATTAAAAAAATATTTACCGGTACGTTGTTTTTTCGATTGATAATCGCATCTTAAAATTGTATATATAATAAATATTGTGATGTAGGAGGTGCTGCTGAAAAAACAGGTGCCTTAAAGGCAGGGGACCAGTTATTACAAGTGAATGGATATGATGTGACACGTATGTCAAGAATCGAAGCGTGGTCTCTTATGAAGAAACTACACGATGGCGAAGTGAACCTCCTAGTCAGGCACCCTGCCACCAAATCGTCGTAAATGGTAGTCAATTCCGATAAACGTGTCGTATGTATATCGTGACACCATGGATGCAATACAACGAATTTTAAACAAGTGCAATGGTTTCATAGAATGCAATTTTTATATTGAATTTGAACGATACAATACGTGTTTGGATGATTCTTGTGTTCGAAATCGGATTTTATTGCGAATATTTAGTGTATCTTTTCATCTACTTTCAAAAAATAGAATAATCAAATATTTCGTTGAAAATTTACTATAGGATCCATAAATTCTGCTTATATATGTATATCAAGATTATATCGCTAAATAATTATTTGAAAATCTCTGCGAGAAAGAATTCTTTTTTTCGATATTGTGGTACTATTGAGTACAATGTATAACGTCCGTTTGCATACGTGAGGAATATCTTTTCTAATCATCTATTATTAGTTTGTATTGAAGTTTGATCTAAAGAACGTATGTATAAACATGTTTTTGTTTAATACGATGTTATGAAATAAATAGAGAAAAATAATTTGTAAATAAAGAGTGGAAAAATTCAAAATATAATTATTCTAGAAATATGGCATATATAATGTAAAAAAAAAGAAAGAAATGTTAATATAATGCATCATTAAAGTATTTAAATGTAGACTGACATTCGTTTCTAGGTTCGCGTTTGTTAAAAATCATGCTGTGATATATGTATGTGTGTTAATATAAAAGTAATAAGCATAATAATAAAAATGGCTTGTCTTTAATAAATTCTTTAATAAACTGATATTATAAATATTTTATCAGTTAAATATTTTAAATGTTATTAAACAACTCTTTGATATCGTATATTATTTCATAAATATTTTCAATGCGATTATGGAAAAGATCGTTGCTCTTTTTCTTTCAATTAAGTTTAAAATAATTTTCAACAATAATAACAAAATAAAACACAGATTTAACAACGCTTTAAAGTAAAGTTTTATATATATATCGAAGATTATGTTTGTAAAATGTTAATTATACGTTCAACAAAATTAATACCAATAATATTTCTTTGGTTTACGATCTTCTTTAATATCCATTTTATCCATAATATCCATTTCAAAGGTTTTCAATTTTCCCTATAAATTAATAAAAATCAAAATTATTAATTACACTGTTACATACTAATTATATATTTTTATTAGATATAAAACTTACTTCGAATGTTAGTTCTTTTACGTCATTTGCAGTAGTATCTTTAGATTGCTCGATATATAATTCCGGAGATTTGTAATCTACAGTTTCTTGACTACTTAAAGGAATTGGGATAATTCTACCAGTTCTACAAGATACTCTCACTTTTTTTCCCTCTTCTGTATATCTCCATTCTATAGCAGTTCCTTTTCTAAAATAAAATTAAAGATATGAATATGATGTATTTTCTAATAATCCATATTTGTTTTAAAAATTATAATTACAAATCGAAAGGATCAACTAATTGTACATCTGTAGTAACTAATAATGGTTGTTCCACGCGTATACAAACTCCAGGGAAATCTTTCTTTTTTCCACGTATTATTGCCTTTGTATTTAATCCTTGTACAATAATCCAATTTCTTTCTTGAATGATATCTTGTACTATTCCTTGTTTTCCCTTATCTGGACCAACTAATACCTCTACCTAAAAATATTTTAATGCTGCTTCTTTTTATAACGCATAAATAAAGCATAAATATATATCGTTTATAAACTACATACACGATCTCCACGGAAAAAACTCCAATTTTTTATAGGTTCAATCGGAACATATTCTCGACGTTTTTTTAACCAATTTTCTAAACAGAAACCTGTAGTCCAAGGACGATGTATAGAAAAATACAACTTCTTTCTTGATACTATTTTACGTGGAAGAAATTGCGGTTTACCGGGTGGAGGCTTCCAATATACCTAAATAATATAATAAAATAACATATGAAATATTATTTTCTAATAAAATATTATTTCTAAATAAAATGTGATATAAAATATGATAAACATGTATATAAAATAAATGTACGTACACGTTCTGTAATACGATCTATATAGCGATCTGGTAAATTTGCATATTTTTTAGACCATTCACCCATCTTTCCAAATAACATATTTACCAGTCTCATTTTTTTAAATTATAAATTAAATTTACGTTTAAGATATTTAAAAAGATACTATACTTAAAAATTATACTAAAGTCAAATCCTCAATTAAATATGTAACACATGAATTAAAATGTGTATGAACTTCGAAAAAGTATGATATATAGAATTGAAACTACGTATACTTATTTTACTTAATATATAGGTGCATATATCACATATAAATAAATGATAAAACGTGTTAATGTTATTCAATGTGTTTGATTTATATTAAAAAATTTTATCACAATATGTCTTATTAATTCATAAAATTTTTATTAAATTTAAAAAAATTTAAAATTAAGAAACTTAAAATTTTTGTGATATATTATATGTTACATTATATAAAAATTGTATTTAGATATTCAACAAGTAATTTAGATATTGGATATATCATGAAAATACTTGTAACTTTACATTAAACGTAATTTTATATTTTCAATTTTATATGTAAATTTCATCCGTTTAGTCAAGATAGCGCCATTTTTTTGAAAAATATTGAATGAAACATATAAATGATGAATAATTATATATATAATTTAAAAATACAAATTTACAAAACAATATAATATTATTATAACAAAATTTATTAAATCATATATATTATTATATATATTTATTATTGTGCATATTATTAATATTATGATTCGAATAGGTTAGAATAATACATAGGTTAGAATATATACATATATGATTCATTGTCCGTATTCATATCATCGGAATTAAAAAATGTTATTTCAATTGAGAAAATGCACACGAATGCGACAATTTATAATGTTTCATATGTATAATAAATCTCAAGTGAAAATAAAAACGATATATTATTGGACAGAATCGAAATGTACAAATTTGATAAATCCAAGTTTTAGCATATATAGGTCAATGTGTACTCGTCAAGATCAAAACGAAGATATTAGATTGCCACCCTTAATGTGGAAACGGAAAGAAGACCTAGGTTTCTCTATTTTTCAAATGTTTCGATCATATTATCTTATACGTTCAACTATTGATAAAGACTTTCGTTATGTTAAATTTGTAGAAGGAGTTCGTCAGGTATAATATGTTTATTGACGTGTTAGTTACATATATAGACGTGCATTTTAGGAAATTAATTAATTGTAATAACATATTTAATTTCAAATAATGTTTAATTGATACAATACAATTAATTTAATTTAGGCAATAGAAGTAATATCTAATGCTTTAGCTACTCAACACTATGATGCATTAGATGGTATAGTAACTGAAAACGCTATAAAAATATTAAAACGTAACGTTGAGGGCCTTACACAAAACCAACGTGATTTAATAAGTATAAATGCTAACGGTATTTTAATAATACCAGAACTTATAAAAGTAAAAAAGACTGAAGGTAATTTTATATGATATAATCATATTTTTTGTTGTTACTGTTTTCATATATATTTAATTCTATTATAGATAACAATGAAACAATGGTTGAAATAGGAATAAGTGGATTTTATTTCAAATCATTTGAAGTTTCAGAACATTACCTTCTATGTTTTAATTATATATTTCAAAGAATATATACAAATAATGAAGGAGGAGCATGGATGGCAAGACTAGTCAATCATACAACAGATTTAATTCAATAGGTTTCAATTATATAATTGAATAAAATTTATTTTAAAATAAATGATTAGTTACATTTTAGAATAAATATCTTTTTTTTTTTTATATATTATTGAGTGTTTACATTACAAGAATTACAAGATAATTTCATTTAATAATTTTATAAAAATATAAATTATTTGACATTAAATTAATAATAAAGTCTAAAAATATAATTATAAGAGGCACAAATTTCTAAAATTATATTATCTAATTAATATTTAATAATTACATGTATCATATTTTTCTCTAGATTTACCAAAATAAATATATTTTTCTTCAAACATTTATGTCTTTCAATATGGGAGATATATAATCTTTTATATGCAATTCTGTTGCACCAATTAAAATCTTATTTTTCGATATAGTCATTATAAGAGGTTTCTGTAATATAAATTTATATAAATTTACAATACATTTTTACAGCAACTAAAAAATATACATACTTCAGTTAAGTGAGGATTGTAAATCCAACATTCTTTTTTATATAAATTTTGAAACAAATTATTTCGTTTCATGGGAACAGAATTATAAAATTTGACTTCTACATTTGACAAGTCATGTGCCTTAATTTTTATTACATTTAAATATAATTAAATATAATATCCATATACAATGATATTGTAATTCTACTGCTCATATTTGCTTGTTTAAACATTATATTTGTCATTCAAGTTGAATATGATGTAAATTCATATAAATGATCAATGATATTTGGACGATTTTCTATAATATTTAAAATATTATGTTGAAAAAAATTAAAACATTATTAATAATAAATATATAATGGATTTAAATAAAAAAAAAATTACTTTTATAAATAGCATCAATCAGACAAAATGGCTTTGTAACAGATGCAGCAAACATTGGAATCTGATTTCTTTCTTTGTCTTTAAAACAACTATCAATTGCTATAAATAATTATAATAAAATATAAAGTAAAAAATAAAATTATTTAAATATTATATAAATTTAATTTAAAAGAATTAAATATAAAATGCATGTATAAATATAAATATAATATGTATGTATATACAAAATTTATAATATCAACAACTTACATTTTCCAACTTCTTCAAATAATTTTGTGACTGTTATATCTTTTTTAATATATTTGCTAAGATGTGTCATATATAAACTATAATTATTACCTATTTTCTCATAACTAGGTCGATAACTAGATGTAGAATATGCTTGAATTAAATTTCTAAGATTTTTTTTACTTTTATATTCTTTCACTATTGGTACCTCCTGATATATTTCAGGATTAAGTTATCTAAAAATAGATAGATTAATAAAATGCAGAAACGAGTGAAAATAAATAAAATAATAAAAAAAGAATATTTACCTTGAAGGTAAAGATTGACACATATCCAAGATAATAATTAATAGTTTAGGATTATTTTTAAGAAATGCAGACAATAGTTCACTTTCACATATTGCATCTTTTCTAAAATATTTTTCTGGAGCATCTGTTGCAAGCATATAATTCTCTTGCATTTTAAAACCATGACCAGCAAAATAGAATAGACCTATATAAAAAGATACAATTTAAGTAATAATTTATAAAATATTTATTTTTTAAATTACAAATAATTTTTTTTTTTATTTTTTACACTTACCATATACACCTTCTACTAAAGCTTTGCTAAATATTTCTATTGCATTTTTCATTTGAGTGAACGTCAAATTGAGAAAATAAATTACTTCAAATCCAATTTCTTTCAGAAGATTACCAATGCACGCAGCATCATTTTTAAGTAATAGACATTCATGATATTCATATTCTTCATTTGCTATTTAATTTAATTAAAGCTATTTTTGCAACTGCTTTTAATCTTTGAAAATCCATCTATAAAATTATGAAATTAATACATTATAATGTAATTAATATCATAATATTAATTAAATTATAATTAAATCATAATATTAATAAAAAATATTATATATTTTTACCATTATATGAGTTTTTTCAGTATAAACTTCACTAATATTGTTATGAATATAACAATAATATTTTCCTTCATTTTTTGAAGTAAATTGTTTTATCTAAAATTACAAAAAAAAATTCATAACATTAATATTATTCTGATGAAGAAAAAAAAATGATAGTTTACATACATGCAGAATGTTTGATGTTTCTCCATCGATTTTAATATTGTCATGAAACCGTTGATAACATGGTTCAAGATTGCTACTAGCTTTGCATAAAATTATAAAACTTTCATTTTCCTTAACTTCCAAAAATTGTTGGGGTTGTATTTCTATTATAACAAACATAGGAAAAATTTGAACAATTATAGCTTTTGAAATTAAAGTTGATATAAGAGTGCCATCATTTTTAATTTAAAATACTTTACATTTATATTCTCCAGCTTGAGAAGCACTTTGAAATAAATAAAATAACTTTCACATTTTGATCAATTAACAATTTATAGAAATTATATAAATATTTTTATATTAAATATATACTTAGTTATAATAAAATCAAGTTCATCAGATGTATAATGTTGCAATTGCTTGTCATTATGATACCATATATAATTTGGTGGTGGCATTCCAATAGCTTTGCAGCACAGATGAAGACGATGTCCAAATAAAACTTTCAAAATATTAATTGGAAATTCTTCTGTTGGATGCATAATAATATTCAAAGGTTCTAAAATCATTATATATATGAAATATTAAATATAGATATATAATAATTTATTAAATAATAATATAATATTATCATACTTGGATTAGATATAATAGATAGAATATTATAAAGTTTACAATCATTTAATAAAGCACATAATATTTCTATAGTACACATTCGAATATTTAATTCAGAAAATAATTTTTGTCCAGGAGAATTATTCGAATGTTTAATTTCTTGTAACGATTGTATTCAAGTGCTATATTTTATGAAATGGAATATTATCTTAATTATTATAATTTAACATTTAATTTCTGTTTTTTTTTAAACATTTCTTTTTTTGCTTACCATGAATATTGAAGTTAGAATTCTTTAGCTACATGATTTGCTAATATTGTCCAAATTGCATCTTTATTTAATGCATTAATTATTTCATTATATATAGTTATTGGTAAACATTCAATATACGCGTCTTTATCAAATCGTATCATTTTTATTGAAATTTTTAAAAATGCTGCGTATGAAAGATTTTGTTATAAAAGGAATAACATTTTTATTTTTTAAAATAAAAAAATATATTAATTGGATTAATATCTGAATTTGTTTTGAATTTTTTTTTTTTTACAATAATATTCATATGTAAAAATTATTTGTAAAATAATTGGAATTTATGATGTTCACAAATTATATATAACATATATACATGTATATATATATATATATATATATATATATGTATATCGATACCTTGTTCTCAATCGATATAACAGAAATATAAAATAGTAAAAATTATTAATCAATATTTTTATATATTTATCTAATATATTTACAATTAAAAAATACAATATTTTATTTAAACTCATTATGGAAAAGATATATAAAATATATAGTTAAAAAAATAATTTTATACCATTAAATCAATAGAATTGATATATTTTATCATTTAAAACAGTATTTATTTATAATAAATATAAATATAAAGAAAAAATATATTTATTAATATATAAGAATAGAAATTAAATTAATAGAATAAATTTGCAAATGAATTGAAAGTAAATAATTTTTCATTATCAAGTTAAATTTGCGAATATGTGATAATAAGAATAAGACGTGAATCTATGTTAATCTGTTTTATCTTCAGCGTTATACATTGTAACACCAAACGAAAGAGCGAGCTTTCGGAACACCCCGGAAAAGTATCGTCAGTTTTTTATTGCGGGTGCGATAGAATGGTGGGGGATTGCTGTAACCAATGAGCCCGCAAAAAGCGGCTCCTGCGCGATGCGCGTGGCGCGCTGCGCCGCATAATCTTGCGTATCAGTGATCGGCAGTGCCATCCAGAAGGCAGTAGGTTACGGGTTCTAACGTGGTGAAATTTAAGGAGTCCTTATTGGTGCGATTGGTGAAAAAGGAAACGTGTGAGGGGATAGAGGGCACACGATAATAGGTGCACGATACTCGCGAGTGTCGGAAGATCTAGTGCCGAGCCATCATGGCGAATCCACGAAAGTTCAGTGACAAGATCGCGCTACACAAACAGAAGGAAGCACAGGAAAGAGCGGCGTTCGAGGCTATCATGCGAGAAGTTTCGGATTACACAAGCAGAGTAAGGAAATCCCAGTAGGTCCTTGTCATTGAGGGACATATCTTGATATTTTCCGTATACCTTCTTCGGCTCAGATGTTAGAACGTAAACAACGAGTATTCTCTTTCCTCGTTGCACCGTGTATCGAGTGTGTGTATGCTACGTGAATGTGCTCGTCTTTCTATACGGTCGTGCGTATTGAGTGTGTGACTAGTCTACTATCAGTATTTGTGTTAACGCGTACAACTACATGTACTCGCTACTGGCCCTCTGTTTCTCTTTCCTATTCGTTATCGTAGTGTGCGGACGGATGCGTATGTGTCTCTTCGTTCGCCGCGTGTAAGAGTGTATGAATATGCGTATATGTGGAACGAGTACTTATATGCTCCGGTATACTATGCGAAACGTACTGTGTGCTTGTTGCCACCATCCGTCCTGTAAGTTCTTAATAAATGCATACGTGTGCGATCGACAATCGCATCCATCCTGCTGACTAGTTCGAACCGACTATCGTATTTTCAAGAAAAATCTCAAGTTCTTTTTCGAATATTCTCACGATTTTCTATATGCATTTTAATCAAAATGTATATATCCGCGATTAGAAAATCTTCATTTGTTTCTCATTTAAAAGAAATTGAAAGCGTTTACAATAAACTTGACGATAATCGTGTTTGTGTTTCTATTTACGCGACATACTTTTATCCACGATCGATAGTGACCAAATGAACTGTTCTTCGTTTTTCTGATAGTTTATCGTTCGTTGAAGTGCATCGTTCAACTTTCAGTCCATGCACTTTCGAACTATTTCGATGAAACGAATATTCGTATTTAACAATTTTAAATATCTTCAAAGCAATCTCGAAATTATTGGAGATATAATACAAGTCATCACGTGCTGTTTTGAGTTTAATTCAAGACCGTTCAATGTATGTTTTTCTCATAAGAATTAGAAACAAATTGTTTTACTATTTCAATTTATGATTATATAAAAAATTTATCGATAGTAATTATTTTAATTACAAAAACAAATTGAATTTTCGAATATATCAAGTGCAATCGGTCAATAACCTAACTTTTCATACGATAAAAATGCCAATGAAAATCTTCTCCGTTAAGTATGATACTTCCGGTTCCGGGTTCTGAAACAACTTATCGTCTTGCTTCTGCGCGAAATTGCTTTTCTTAACGTTTACAATTTCGCACGATAAAACGATAGCTTTTAGATTGACAGTATTGTTATTAATCGACTCGAAATGTCAATGTCTATGAAAAATCAGCGAGATAAGATTAAAATTCGATCGTGCTCTTATGCAATTGATAGCCATGATTTTATAAATTCGATTTTCCAATGAAAGATAGTTATAACCATTTATCGTTGAGCACAATTGCGGAATTGTCACGCGTATATTCGTTTGTTTTTTGAAAATGCACGTGGATCGCGCGTAGATTCAAGCGACAATATTTTTAACTATGAAAGTTAGAAAATTGATGAAGTTCACGCACTACAAATCGCATTTTTTTTACGACCTAGTGCCCTCTATCGTGGTGGTGTTACGTGGAGATTGTCGCGGGAATCACGCGAAATTGGCGCGTTTTTAATCGGACAGGACTCCGATAACCGTACAATCATTACATAACTGCTAACATTGTACTAAATGCGGAAGCTGCGTTATACGTTAAAGTTCATATTCGATCAGTCGATATCGCGGCGTTATTTACGGTACTATGACTTAATCTATTGGACGTTGAGAATGCGCGCCCGCGCGCGCGCTCGCGTGTACACATGTTTTTAGTTGTGCATCTAATTATTCCCGCGCATATTTCTCTTTATTTCTTTTTTCGCGCTTCGTTGCATTATCATCGAATTATTCGACTAATCTCGAGATGTCAGGATAAGTTTCGAGATACGCTTCTTTATCTCCGGTTAACGATTTTCAAAGCGTTTCATATTAAAGGAGAAAAGTCGTTCCATATTTATTACACAATATTTTATAATATTACGGGAAATTGTATCTCACGCGTATACGTGTATATGTGTATGTGTGTGTGTATGTGTGTACATGTTGCAATCGGTGCACACGAATGGTATACGCGTTCTATTAATTCTATTTAATCAACTTGGACCTGACCAGATCAAATCATGGATCGAGCACAACGTTTGTATACGTAATCTTTCGTTTTCTTCTCTCGCGTCCAGTCTGCGTGATTCCACGATACATTTTTGCGCCTTATACGCGATCTTTGATCCGAACTATAATTTTTGATCGAACGATCGTCGAGTTACACGACTCTGAATCATTATACCGTTAACGGCCTCGATAACGATTACAAACGCGGCGACTAATCGTTCGAACCGATGTGCTAACTCACGCGTGTTTAAATCTCAAGTCGAATGGGAAGAACAATTGATCGTTGTTAACAGTCGGAACAATTTGAACGCTGTTTGCACTTGTTTCGAATATTTCTCATAATTCTTCTTTTCTTTCTCATCATATGTATCTCGCAATATAACATAATTTTGGAATTATAATTATTAATAATTATTCGTTCGCTAATATTCGTTCATTACTTCGATCTCGGGATATCCATATTTCGAAGCAAGTCTAGTAAAATGATCCATGAAACGAATAGGAACAAAGAAAGAAGGGGAATCAGAAACGATGTTACGTGTGAGTACGAAAGTATGCGCGGGCACAAAAATGGTCCCTTATTAATGGAAACTTCGTTTTCGAGGATGGTGATATTTTACGATTTCTAGTTAATTATCGGAATCGTTAGAAATTTTTCGATCGTGATCATCGAATAATCAATCAATTCATCGTATTCTCTTATTTTTTTTTTCTTTTCTTTTTTTTTTTTTTTACGAACAATCAAATCTCGAAACTAGAAAAGACATTGCAAAGATTTTCCGCGTTCTCCCTCGGAAAGAGAGATACAAGAAAGGGGAGCCACGTGGTCTAGCGTGCAGCGTGATCTAATCGCAAAACAGGTTGCGTTGTACGCTCGTAAAAGAAAAAAACTGATACTTTCACCGCAAGAATTGCGCAATTTCTTTATAAAAAAAGAAAAAAAATACATAAAGAGGTCGCGATTGCAATTTTATCGCAACGTTCGATTTTCCGCCAAGTTTTAATCTCGATCGTGTCGTGTTTTCGTACCGTTTGTTCGTTACTCTCGGCATACGATTTCCTCGAAACGTAACGATGAAGATAGAATTCCGTTGCATCGGTCCAAACCAAACCATTCTCTTACGAATCGAATTGGAATTTTTCGGTCTTTCCGGACCGAATGAAACGAAAGACAGGAGAAGAGAAAAGGAAAAAAAAAAAAAAAAAAGGAGAGGCCGTTTATCGAAACGGGGTCTGGGACAGGAATGCAGACCTAGCGGTACAAATTCCAAGTCACGTAGGCTTTTAGACGGATGGGGAAAGGGAATGGTATCCCTTTGGAGGGAGAACGCGGGGCCCTTTCTCTCTCAACCAAGTTCTTCTCCCGCGCTATCGTTCCGATATATTCCGACGAACGTCAGAAAATTTTCCGGGTTAGAAACGTTAAAAGAAACTTAAAAGAAAATCCTCTTACACGAATCACGTGTGTGGATGATGGAGAGGCAAGAGGTAGTTTGTCAGAGGAAGCGATCAAGTTGGTGACCGATACGAACGATGGACCTGCTTAGATCCACTCGGCGAGCAGCTCGGTGTGTGCCAGTCCCACGGGATCCGGGGTACTGGAGACTCCTTTGTCCGTGAAGAGTGCCGGCGCCAGTCCACCGCAGTCCAGCGGCAAACACCTGCACATTAACCTGGGGAATCAGTTCAGGGCGGGTGGCTCTCTGCCGAATGTTAACAACAACGCGAATTGCGCCAATGACGCGAAACAACACGCATCGTCGCACAACGCCGCTATCCACTCGATCGACCTTAAGGTATTGGCCCATCTAACACAACCGTGTCAATCTAATTTTCCTTTTTTTTTCCCCCCCTCTCTCTTCTTTTTCGTATATATTATATATATATATATATTATTATATTATTATATTATATTATTATATATATATATATATGTGTGTGTGTGTGTGTATACACGTAGATCGCGCTTGCACCCATTTTTGCCTTTTCTTTCTCTTCGTTTTTCTCCCTTGCAAAAAATTTTGCATTTCTGGCTTGCTCCCCGATCATCGATCGACCGTTCCCCTTTACCACACCTGACGTCCCTTTGCAAACGATTCGTTGGATGCACGCGAGCCGACAGAGGCTAAAATCCGGATCGATTGTCCAAACGTGCGCAAATACGTGGGTCGTGGTTTCAATGTTTAAGAGGCAAGAATTAAAGCTCGTAAATTATCCTGGCTTATCGGCTTTTTCTCCTGCGTCGATCCCTCGAATTATCGAAAATTATTAATCGGTCGATCGATTGCGCAGGAGGAGGAGATCTCTCTACTTGTTGCGAGTCCGCTTTCGAAGCGTGACTCATGGGCTGGAGCAACGTACGGCCGATCGCGTGCCTCCTTTCATTAAACTATTTCCAGTCGCCGCGTAAAAATAGATACGTTTCAAGATTTTTCTCCTTTCGAACCGCCGTTTCGGGGGAGGAGCGGCGCGTTGCAGCGGCTCCACTCCACTCCACTCCACGTTTTCGGCCCCTTTCGCGCCGGTGCAAAGTCGGTCCCCCGCGATTCCTTCGAGCGGAATCGAACCGGTCTATGCAAACTTTCCAAACGTCTAAACTGATATCCGCGCGGGAAATATCGATGACGAAACCTCGTTCGCCAAACTTTAAGCTTCTCTCCGATTTACCTCTATCCTCTTTCTCTCTCTCTCTCTCTCTCTTTGCCACTGCATGATAGAATCTTTTGCAACAGTGTAATCGTGTAAACGCGAGAATAATAAAATTGTTGCTGTTTCGAGGCAACGATTTTTGATTATATATATATATATATATAATGGACGTCAAATTTCACGTTTGAGTTGCATGGATAGTTTCTTTCTTTTGCACAATTTGATTTTGAGACTATGAGAAATTCCCAAATCCTATATTTCTAAATCGTGTTTCGCGCCAATTTAATTTAATCCCGTCGGTAACGATTTTTCTGCTCTGCCGATAAATGTCGCGAAATTTTGCAAATTATTATATCATATTCGCGCTCCAGCCTTGGATTATTTTCAAGCAACGAATAAATTCTCTCGTTGAATTGCGGTTCTCGAAAATCTCAGAAAATTTCGAAACGAGTTGAATCACGCGAATGTGATAATATCACGTAAAGGGGATCGCGTCGATGAAGTCATTAAGAAATTATCTCGAGCCTTAAGGATGAAACGACGTGGTAACGACAAGTTGGTTAAATTTCGCGGGGTTGTTTTCGCGTAAAAATACAATTATACGCCATATAAATCGAAGACATCCGCGAATTGGATTGTCATGCAAATTATAGTAGATATCAATGAGGATGGAAATCGCGCTTCGTTCGATCATCACGTAACGATATTACGTTCAATATAAACGTTATTATCGCTTTTCCAAACAAATTATTCGCACTATGGATATAACTTGGAGAAATTTCTTGTTTGATTATTCGACGAGCGAAGAACGTTCACTCGGCTCATATATTCGTATATTTTTCACTTTCTCACATTCTACATTATACATTATTTGTATGTATTTATCTCCTCCTCACCGGTTATTGTCAGCATCGGTGGCGATTTTTACAGACGCGTTTGTTTACAGACGAATTGAAATTATTTGTACTTTTCACCGATATCTCGTGTTTTTTTTTCTTCTTCTTCTTCTTTTTTGTTTATTTTTTCACACAGCCTGTTGTCAATTTTCCCTCGCGATCGTCCACTCGATCCCGGAAATAGTCTTCTCGTCACGCCCTTAGATAATGAACCATACCTGAAAGCGAAAGGTAGCTCAAAGAAAACCCATCAGAGAAACAATTTTGCCTTGCATGCACACGTTCGCTCGCACGTTTTTCGCTTTTGTCGTTACATAATAGATGTATAGATATGTCAAGAAAAGGTTGCACGTTAATTTGTTTAAGAAAGTGGAGGTTATTTATAATGTATCATCGAAGAGACTCGAATTTCTAAATTAATCGAGATACAATGAAAGAAGAATATTCTCACTTACGTCCGGTGCAGATTCTTGGACGCATTTGGCGAGATTGTATATCTTGTTGCAATTGTCGGAGCCGGCTGCAAAAGCAGGAGAAAAGAAGAGGAAATTTCAGATCATTGTTCTCAAATCTCGATAAATCGATGTATACACGTACAGGTTGGAAGGCATTTGCCCATGATCGATTGTGCCCTTTCCTGAAGATGATCCGGCAACAGGCCCAGCATCATATCCTCGTCCACGTTGGCATCATCGTCGACCTGAACGAGAATTCCGTTCCTTTATTTTTCTTTGGACGCGATTCATCGAAAACTCACCAAGCTGAACGCCTCTAACAAGCAATACATGTAGCAAGTGATGGACGGTTCGTTTACCAGCTTCCCTTTGTCCACCTCGTCGATTTGCGCTACGTTGAGACGTGCGGTGAATTATTTTTCGATCGACAAGCACGAGCGCGAGACTTTTTCGAGATTTTAATATTCAATTATTCAAATTCTTTAACCGGTTGTTTCACAATCCCTGTGGAAATTCACGCGGTACTAACCTTGCGTCGTCCCGTGCTCGCCCATGCACCGAGCCTTGTCGTCCGCGACCATGTCGAACACCTCGGGCGGCACCCAATCCGGCTAAAATAAAGTCGGTCGAAACTCGCGTATTTTTAAATAATTATCGTATCAATTTCAGATCTATTCCATTCCTGACTTCGAACCTCTCTCCTTGTCAAATCAACGATCGTGTTATCAAAACATATAGATTACAATTACACGATGCGGAATCAATTATAATTCTCGAATCATTTTTATTTCGAGAAATAAAATATATAAAATATATATTTATCATATATAATTATTATTATACATTATACAATAATAATAATTATTATTATTATATATATATGTTATAAATATTTATTATTAATTATTATTATATATATTGTAAATGTATAAAAGAAAATATATATTTTATACGAGTTATAATCTTATAGGTAATTGGATATTAAAAGAGTTATTGAGATTAATAATAAAAATACTCGGCGAAACACCCAACCTTTTTATCGACATCCCCCGCTTCGTCCAATTCGAGAATCGAGATTGAAAAATAGTTGGATGGAAGCTTACCGCCGCGCTCACGAAAATCGTCTGGAGGCAGAGGAGGGCGAGAGAATGGATGAAGGCTTGCTTCGTGCTACCCATGATCGCGCGATAATAATATTTTCCCCGCGCGCACACGTCCCGCTTTGCGCGTACAATGGTTGCCGCGACGCATCGGTGGCGGCGTTTTTATAACGGCTGCACGGGATGTGGGCGTGTGTGCAAGGGGAGGAAGGAGGGTTGCTGAACGCGCGTCCACGTTGCCCGCTGATTGAAGTCCTTTCGGTAATTGGTTAAAGAAAAACACGGCTAATTTTCGGCCCCGTAACGGAAGTGCGCTCTTTCGTGCTGCGCAACCGCGGCCGTGACCCTGAACGCATCCTGTTTTTCTTCTCTCCGATTCTGTTCTCGGTTTCGTTCGAGAGAATCGATGAATTTGGTAAAAAATTGAGAAAAAACGATAAAGTTTCGTATTCAATTGGATTTTGGAAAGAGATTTTGATTCTTAAATTCGGATCGAATCGTGTCGAGGGAGAGTATTAAATTTAGTTTAGTTTAGTTTTAAGTTTTCATGCGTCTGAAAACTCGTGATCAGGACGAAAGGTTGTCGCTAGTGTTGCTCGGAGCATCGACGACGTGTAAGTTGAACAGTGTTGGTCGAATTCACATCCGGCAACACTGTTATTTGTTTACGTTTTTTCATCAAGAGATCAAGTTCGAACGAACGAAGTATCGTTTGAGAGATTCGATGCATCCCTTTGCAAATTTGTTAATTTGTCGTTTAAAAATTGTAAAAGAAAGGGATATTTTTTTTTTTTTTTACATCGTTTTATATGTAATACAAGCGTTGTAGAGGAAATCAACAACGTGAATTGGCAGATTCGCGATTACTGAAATTACAACGTTGCGTTTCCTTTAATGACTCGTTTGCAAAAACCATTTGTTGCTACTTGAGAATAATTATATCGAATTACAAGAGCGCTTTGGCCGAGTCCAAAGATACATTTTTAACCTTCGTAAATCCGGGATCGTAATCTGGCATTAAATATCTAATGGGATACGACTCTATGTTCTTTTTATTAAAACATATATATATATATGAGTACATTAGACAAGAGTGCAAATATATTACATCACGCTGCAATCGCAAATTGAAAAAAGCTAAACTTTAAAAATATTTTGCATTCTGATTACATTGTATAAAAATTTTTCTTTATTCTTTGCACAAAGAACGTTTACCGGATTCGCGTTCTTTCTATTTAATTGAAATGGAAAATAGATAGCATTTAAATTTTTTTTTAAAATTCCGAATCAAGAATGAAGACTGATAATGATAGACAACTGCATAGAAACACGCGCGATATTACGCGAAGATCGATGCATTATGTAAGATCAGTGCGAGGAATTTCGAAAAGATAAAAATTCTCTCGAACAAAATTCCTTTTCTCCCTGTTAACTCGACAACCTTAAGAAAAAAGTTGCAGCATCGAGGAATTCGTCGTTTCAGGGGCGGGGTTGCCACACCTCTCGAATTTAATTACCGTTTTCGACCGAGTTCTTGGAACGAGTTCTTCCAACAGAACCCCCTTCTCGCGACCTTTTATCAATTTCACGGTTCAGAGGAGCCGGGGCGATATTGGTCGAGAGAATTGGTCACGAGGAGTTGGAAAATATCCGTTTCGAACGTTCCGAAGCGAGGGACGACGCTTGGACGAGCCGA